CCTCCAGACCAGACAAACTTTGGTTCACTATAAGGAGTGTTCATTTCTCCTCTTCCAGCTCTGCACACATATCCTGCTGTGTGTGTCTGTCCATGAACAATGAAGGAATACTTTTCAGTTCCATTTCTGCTTCCAGATAGCAGCTGGTAGTTGTAGGAGTTGTAGGAGTTGTCAGATAGTTTGGGAATAGCTTCATACCAGTAGAACCTCCATCCTGCTGATGGGTGTTTAACCTCACAGTTCAGAGTCACAGAGTCTCCAGGACTCAGCCAGAGTGGAGACACGGTGAGGACAGGCTGGGGTGAACCTGTTGGAAAAGTGATTATTCAAAGAAATAAAACCATGTAATGATGGAATATCTGATAGTACAGTATAATGTTTATATGAAAGAAATGTTACTTACTGGATAAAACCGTTAATGTGATGGGATCGCTCCAACCTGTTGGAGACTGGTCACTTTTTTTTCTGCCCTTACAACTGTAGTTTCCACTGTGTGATGTATAAGCAGGTCCAATACTGTATTCCTTTTCCTTTGGAGGTTTGAATGAGTTGCTTGTTTTCCACTCGTACTCCCACTCAGCGTCGTCTCCATCCTTTATCTCACATCTTAGAGTAATCGACTCTTTATAGTAGATTTCAGACCAGTTGGGGTGCAGAGTCACGACAGCCTTGTTTGCAACCGCTAATGTTGAAGAATTCACAGTAAGTATACAAAGATGAAAAAACCTTAAATCTACACCAAAGAATGTCAATATGCAAAACTTACTATTTTCTTTTAACTGAATTGTATTACTGTCCTCTGTGTAGTAAACTGGGTTTCCTCTCGCTCCTCTACACCTGTAGAGTCCTTCCTTTGAGACACGCTTTTGTCCAGCCGAGGAGAATTCATTTATGGATGATGGGTTAGAGGATTTATCTGCTCTGTACCAAAAGTAGTATTGCCAACCAGATGAAGAGCTCACATCACAGGTCAGGGTCACATAACCTCCTACTGGAATATCTGTGACATCAGCCTTCAGCTCAGCCTTTGGTTTTTGTTCTGTTCAGTTTAAAACAGGGATATAAAAATGATTACTGTTTCTTTAAATAGCCATTAATAAAATACCTTATGGAAATAAATACACATGAACTTCATCCATGAAACTTATTGTACCAAAGACACACTTAATCACTGTGATCTGCACTAAAACTTTCTCAATGAAGAAATAAAGTCACAATTTGAGTACTGTTCAGATATGAATGATAGTTTCTCTTAACATACACAAACATCCTAAAAACTGTTTTCATGTTGATTTTAAGTCCATCTTACCTGATACTGTCAATGTGATTGGAGTGCTCCATGGTGTTGAGGAAAGTACCTCAGTTTTGTGTTTTCCCTTACACTTGTATTCTCCTTCACTGTAAGAAGTAGCAGTGATTTCAAAGGATTCACTTTGTCTTACAGATCTATCAGAGCTGGTTGTTTCCCACTCATACTCCCACTCAGAGTCGTCTCCACCCTCGATTTCACATCTCAAAGTGATCTTCTCTCCGCTGTGTATCTCAGTCCAATGGGGCTGAAGAGTCACAACAGCTCTGTTTGATACTGTTTGTGTTCAAGAGATCCCAACAAGGACACAATGATGAGAAAAAAAGAAACATCTTTAGTCTTTTTATCAATCAATTTATGGATAGAATATATTATTACAAGTTTTCAAAAATGTTAAACTCACAAATGATGTTGATAGTGACTGAATCACTGTACTCTGTGTAGTAAACTGGTTCTCCTCTCTCTCCTCTGCACCTGTAGACTCCTCCCTTGGAGACACTGATCGTCCATTGAAGTTTTTACCATCATCTTGTGTGCCCGGGTGATCTCCTCTGTACAAGATGTACGTCCAGCCAGATGATGGAGGGTTCACATCACAGGTCAGGGTCACAGCGCCCCCTGCTGGAATTGATGTGCTGTCAGCTCTCAGTTCAGCCTTTGGTGTTCTTGCTGTTTGATTTGGAAACAAAGATGTAAAAAGGTAAATTACTGTACCTACAATTTGGTCAAATTCAAACAGTGCTGAGCCCAGAAGTAAAAATGACTTGAAGAATTATGAGCTGAAACTAGTGTTAAGATTTATCTCTTAAATTATATTAAATTTAAAATAGTTAAATTCCAGAAAAGATCCAAATCACGTATCACTTTAAAAAACAGCATCAATCAATCAAATGTATTCATAAAGCACATTTAAAAAAACAAGACAAAAACTCACACAACATATGTGCCCAAACACACAATGCACAAACACGATACAACTATATAATCATACTTTAATATTAAATGATATTTGATAGAAATACATCAAAAAGAAATACAAGCAACCTAGTTAGGACTCAAAAGCCAACATGTAAAAGTGTGTTTTGAGGCGTGACTTAAAAGACTCCACAGAGGGGGCAGACCCTGACTGAGGGAGGAAGGCTGTTCCACAACCGTGGGGCCTTGACTGCAAAGGCTCGGTCGCCTCGAAGTTTATAACGGGAAGGAGGCGGAGCCAGGGGGCGGGGCCAGGAGGCGGAGCCAGGAGGCCCATGTTTGAGGATCTGAGATACTTTTCTCACTTTGACACAGCAATCATAACTTAGGAGAGCTCTATCAATATCAACAAACATCTTCTTTGTCAAATGTGAATAACTTAGCCAATATTTATAAGAAATTATTCAGACACTGTTAGTGACATCAAAATTCACTGTTTTAAATCATATTAAGACATATTTTAAGCAGATTACAAAAGATGTGATAGTCTTAAGTTTCTCAGTTATTTTGTTACCATGCTGAAAGTTAAAAAATAATTTGTCACAGCTCCCTGCAAAGACTTTAAGCAAGCAATGTTTTGTTTTCTCATTTAGATGAAATCATTTCCACCTGGACATTTTAATTATTGACAACATGGTTCGACTTACGTGTTACAGTCAATTTGAAGGGTTCACTCCAAGGCGTGAAGGTAGAATTAGGGGGGTCCCCTTCTGCCGATGCACTCATAGTCTCCGTTGTCAGAATCAGTGGCTTGGCTAATAATGTATTTATTGTCTGTTGTATATTTGTCAGAGCTGGATGTTCTGTCTCTTCTCCATCCAAACGTCCATTCAGAGTCTCCACCTCCCTCAATCTCACATCTGAGAGTGAGCGTCTCAGTCCAGAATGTTTCAGGCCAGTTGGATGTTGTGGTCACACGGGGACGGTTACCTGTTCACATCACAAAGAAACAGGATTGGAAACAAAAACTAAAAATAGAAAATATTACAGTTTTCATCCATGATCCTTATTGTAATGATTTAAATGTCTGTACAATATAACTGTAACAATAATGACACAACAATAATGTTGTAAATGGTTTTAAAGTAACGTATAAAGCAGCGTTAAAAGAAGCAGCTGTTGAAGAGATATAAGAGCTTACAGAGTCACAACAGTTTCTAGAAATACCAGCAGCTTTCCATGGTGAGGACAGAGTCGAGTCAAAAGAGGAAACTAAAATACATAGCTTAAAAAAAACATTTTAAAAGAGAACTTTCAGGAAGATACAGTTCACATTCGAGGACATTTTCTTTTAAAACTTAAGAGATAATACATAAACACAAAACACTACATGTGGATGATGTTAAAGAGATGAAGTAGGTAATAAATAGAGGAACTGCAGAAATATTTAAAAAACAAAAATCAGAAATATAAGACCCATCACTTACCTTGAGCCAATCCGTGGGGGATCAAATTCAGCACTAAAATAAAGATTAATAGTTCATCAGGGAAGAATTAAAGGTGTTAAATCCAGATAGAGTTTCATTTTAGGTAACTGTTATTGTCAAAACTTTCAAAAACGAGATGGTTCATCTCAAGGGGCTATCCATCAATAAACAGAATTTCTCACAAAACAACAAACGTTTGGCAGCCATTTCAATCCTAAAGCTTTTTTTTCCAAAACTATCGACTATTTACTGTTCACGCCTTGTTCAAATGTTGTACAAACAGCAAGTGCTTAACTCCTGTTGTATTATTCAAACAGCTGAACTACATGTTCATAGAAACATGACTCGCTGTTTGAAAGTCACAAAACTTAAAGAGCTCTGATGTACTCACAGAAAAACCCCAGCACACAACGCAAGGTTTGGTCCATCTTCACATCCAAAACGACAATGAAACTCTGACGCTTAGTTTTAAAATAAAACATTAACTTTACATTTCTAATAATGCAGAAGGAAAAGAGGAGAAAGACAAGTAACAGTTCATTAAAATGTGAGAGCAGAGTTTCTCTCGGACTTCTTCTTTCTCTTTACTTCCTTCCCTATTGCACTTTACACAATTCTAAGCACCAACCTCAACAAACCTGTTTACACGTCCTGTCTACTGCTCGAATAAGAAAGAGATCATGTGAAATGGCTTCTGTTAGGGGTTAAATAAATAAATAATGGCACTAATAACTAATTATTGCACATCCATGAAACATAATGCCAATAACTTTAAGACCACATACACACCTAACATTTCTAGTGTTCTATGTGCTGCATGTTATTCCAAATATATGATATTATTATATTTATTTGTGTTGTGTTTTTATAAACAAAATAAATAATGATTTTCAATACACAATATATGAGTGTCCTTGTCTAACACACCCTGGTGGCAGAATTACAAATAGAATGCCATCTAATGATTCACATGATCATTAATAAATAATAACCCACGACTGATCTGGTGCACTGCCTGCATAGCAGTGTGTAGCAGCCCCACTCTGACTTCTCTCCACTAATGCACGTCCACAGGTCCTGTTTGAACATGTGTGTGATTCAGGTCAATGTGTGTGAGAAGCATGTCTCTCAGTAAATCATTTTAAAATAACAATTCAAATTCAAAAAACTAAAGCCACAGTAAGATGGTGAAAAAAAAGAAGCAAAACCTCAACCTGCAAATGTTCCCACATTGTGGTAGAGTTCTAGTTTCTAGTTTGTTTGAAGTCCACAACACCGGAAACACTAACTGCTTATTGCCCATGAGAGAGTTTTAATGTTTTCAGGTTGTTTTCATTAGCAGAAAAAAAGAAGGCAAAAAGATGACAATATGTTTCATGTTTGATGGTGAAAAAAATAAAGCAAAACTCACAAGAATACTGTAAGTGTTGTACCAAGTACAATCTGATGATCACTTCCTGTATAAACAGCTCTGCTATAGGAGGCACGCCTTTCACTCAGGCCGGACATGATGTCACTGAAGCAGCAGATAAAAAGATGCATCAGAATATGCAAAAGAGCATATAAGCTAATTATAAACCTCTTCTCACTTCTGATGGTGAACTAACAAACAAGCACCAGGTCCGTGGTCAGTGTAGTACCCTCAATTGATTTAAGAGGTGCTTTGTGCCATAGCAAATGTGTCCCATCACATCTGTGCCATAACTGTGCTCCTCCTGGTAGATTCCAAGGCGTTCCTGGGCTATACAGGATATATAATCCCTCCAGTGAACTCTGGGTCTACCCCAGGCTCTCCTCCCAGTTGGGCGTGCCCCGAAAACCTCCAAAGGGAGGCGTCCAGGAGGCATTCTAATCAGATGCCCAAACCACCTCAACTAGCTCCTTTCGATGTGAGCTCCTCACCCTATCTCCAAGGCTGATCCCAGCTTGTATGATCTGGGTTTTTCCCAATGATTTTGAACTATCCAATTCTTCTGAAATGTATAGTACACACCCTCTAAACAGGCTTCCCCTGACAGTCTTCATTGTGGCGGTTTGTACTTTACATTTCTGGACATTAGGATAGTTCAAAATGTTAATGAAATCCAGATCATTCCAGTTCAGCCTCAGTCAAAATATTTGTGTGACAATTAAAATACATAATTTTGGAGTGATGTCCGAAATGTTTTTCTTGTTTTAACATTTTTCGGGATTCAGCACTCAGTTGTTTTACGTTGAAAGGGGATTGAGTGTGTTTTCTCTGTCATTAGATCCATAAGGTACCCATCCATATTAATAATACATTTTATTTGTAGCGCACTTTTCATCAAATCAAATCTTAAAGTGCGATAGAATTTTAAAAAGCATGATCATAAAAAAAAGCTAAGGGCAAGCAGAGAGTTATAAAGCATGAGTATAAAAAAAGGATGAGAAAGCAGAAATGAAGAAAAATGAATGATTGTGGGGCTCAAATACTGAAAATAGATGTGCGTGACTCACATTGACAACAGTTTTAGTTTAAGAGATCCAGGATGCCAGAAAAATCCAGAAAATCCCATTCTTAAATCATTAAAATACAATAAAAAAAACTAAAATAACGAGCCCCAATATAACCTTTAAAAAATAGTCATACCGTACCTTACATCACATCCAATTATTTAAAAAAATGCAGTTGAAAACAATCCATGACGTGTATTCAAGTTTTTAGTACCACAGGAATGTCCACATCATTATTCTGAATTTATATCGTACTCTCAGTCAAGCTTTTCAAACTTGTCATGTTTATGTCTTTGGCTTTTGCAAAGTGCAGTACACTGAGTCAATTTGCCCAAGAGTGACAGATGAAGTTGATGACTCTGGTGTCGTGTAATCTACTTTTGTTGTATTTTCTCTGTCACTGTTTCCAAGCGAGCCAGTCACACGTGGCAACTGTAGAACGCTGTAGACCGTATCCACTGTCTGGCTTTCCTTTGATTCCAGCTCCTCCTTTGGGTGGCTGGTTGGATGGTTTATCTGACTTGGCTCCGCTGCCTCCACATTTTCATAAGACACATCAGGTTGAGTAGAAGAAGAGGGTGACTCGCTGCTCACAGGTTGTGACTGGGCCTCGATTGGCTGGCTCTGTATTAACTGAGCAGTAGATGTCTGTGAATCAGTGCAATGTGGATTAAACACAATTTCACAAACTATAACAAGAATAATCTCAATTTGACATCTTGTTTACAATGCATACATCTGAAAAAAAATTTACTGATAAAAAAAAAAGGTCACAGTGTCAAGACTTTATATTTTACATGGTAAGTTATATGCAACAGATTCCTTTATATATTGAATATTGAATCAAGCTTACCTGATGTCCATTATATTCTGTCCAACAGAGTCTCTTAATCAAAAAGCTAATAAATGCACAGAGAGTTACACCTACGGCAACTGCTATTACAATTACTATTAGTCTGGATGATGATGATGATTTCTCTTCATGTTCATTTGTCCGTTTACTATAGCCTAAAAACAAAAACAAAACACGTCAACAAATACAAACAGCAACAAAATGAATGATCAAAATAAGAGCAAGTTGTCAAATAATTAAGAAGTAAAAAACAGTTAATATTTTCTGAAGGTATATTTTTCAGTAAATTTCATTCATTAGGTAATAAATCAACAGATAATTGGAAAGATCATATCATATTTACATGTTGCGTCGATGCTTTTAGAGACTTTGCTTTTGCTGACTTGGTTGTGTCCACTGCAGACAACAGATCTGTTGTGAGCCAAAATTGTGATGTTGACTTTACTTAAGGATCTCTGAAATGGTCTGCAGCTGTCTTCATGGCAAACAGCCCACAGCCACTCGTCCAGGACAGAGCAGTTGATGGATATGTTGCAGGATCCAGCAGACAGGTTGGAGCCCATTAATGACATCCTGATAACTGGTTTGGGAACAGATTCTGAAATAACACAAGCAAAGAAATGTAAGACATTAGCTAGTTTATGCTGCCCTCTGGTGGCAAGTAACAGGAATGCTTAACCACCCGTAGCAACACACGCCTCAAACTAAGCTTTTCTCCTAAACTAAGGGCACCAAACACAAATGCAACATGAAGAATGGCACTGGACTTCACTTTATATGCATGCCAGTTCACTTTACTATGTATTTTTCATCCTGCTTTTTGTTTGCCCCTACAGCATATTGCTTTGAGGACACCAAATTTACATAAGGTTAGAGTCACCTTTATTAGACCATTAAAAAACTGAAAACCCTTCAAAAATAAAATGATAGGAAACTATAAGAGCTGACTGAACTGGAACAAATTAAACTTTTCACATAGTTGAAAATGTTATCATCAATAGGGATGAATAATTGTAGAGGCCAACAATGAAAAATACTAGGGTGTAGTTCACCTAGATATTTATGTGATCTTATCGTGGACCTGGACTCTAACCCTCTAAGCCCAATTGAAGATATTTATTTTCAAAAGGAATGGAATAATATGTCCTGAAACATCTGAAAGCAATAAACCTGGTCTTTAACTAAAATACTGTAAACAGAGGAATATAAATGTTAGAACTCCCAAGGTTATCATAAATAAATAAAATCTAAATAAAGACAAAGTACATAGAACTTACCTTGAACAATTAAACGGTTGGTCTCAGTTGATTTTTTATATTTGGAATCAACGATCAAAGCTTTATAATCACCACTGTCTTTTTCAGTCAGTTTTTTTAGACACAACGCGTGATTGCTTGCATTGTAATCAACTTTGTCTGTGTAATTGGGTGTGACGCTTTTCTGAAAAACAATTACTTTATCATAATAACTCCATTGAACATCAAGTGTTGCTGATTTTCCAACTTGTAGACATAATGAGCTGTTCTTCACTCGGTAGTGCATCTTTGGTGGACCGTCTGCTGCAATACCTGGGAAACAAACATGATTCATTTTATTTTTCTTCAGGCACATAACCAAATAAACTCTAAAAAGAAGGTGCACGCTGCTATAATGTGACTACAATTGCCTTATGATACATGTCTAAAGTAAAGTAAATCCCTTGCCTAGCTTCTTTTTTTATTATTGCCGGTCGGACTGATGTTAAGCAACTTGCCTTTTTTAGCTGAATGGATAATGGAAAATCATCAACTTAAAACTTTTAAAAACTCCACAATCAATGCAAAGAGGATTTTTTTTTTTTTTTTTTAATTCTCATAGAAATCAAGACTACACTAAATGCAATATAAAGTTACATCTTATTTCTTCTTAAAACCATACACAAATTAAGCTACAAAAATAAAACAATTCTACAACTACAATTCACTTAGCAGACGCTTTTATCCAAAGCGACGTGCATCAGAGAGTAAGAACAACACAAGCAAGATCTAGAAAAAAGGGAACAATGTCAGTAAGAGCAAACGATCAGCTTTGAGTCTGATTGGACTCACAGGTGCTGACAGGCATTGCACAGAGGCAAAGCACAACATTGACGGCAGTTCTTGAGAGCTCTAATCAGTATAGAAACCATCTTATAAGTCATCATTATCAAACATTCTTGGACTAAACATGCCAAAAAAAATGTATTATCTTACCTGCAATTATAACACAACTCAGAAGCAGCAGCATTCTTAATCCGCTGTCAATCTCGATGAAGATAAACAGGAAACGCGACCTTGAAAATGGGCTTTGCAGGTGCAAAGACAACCCAGACAGATCAAAGCCGACATTTTTCATTGGTCTGGTTTTTTTTTTAAAGTTAAAGTTCAGTAGTTAAATTTGAATAATACGTTCAAAAATTCTATTCATAGTGTTGAAACAAAAAAATTTAAAGCAGATGATCAGTGTTGTCTGCTGGCAATCCCAGCTGAATTTGCACACAAAACAAAGCCTTATAGAATTAAGTGTTAATATGAGTGCAGGTTTAAGCTGAGTTTCAAATACGAAAACAACAAGGTTTTTGTTCCCTTGATTTGTGCCAGAAATCGAGCAGGTTTTCACCCTAAGTAGATCTGCCTTTCAATTTTTTTGACACTTTACCAAAATCACTTTTTCATCCAAGCTAAAGCTTTGAAGGTAAAGGAAACCATAGCACAAATTTCAGTTGTTTCTTTGTACATTACTGACTTGTCTTAATTAGAACATCAACTCAACCAGTTTACGACCTGCCACCTTCAGCTGCGTCTAAGGCAAACTGTATGGCCATCTTTAAAAAAGGGGGATGATCAAAACCTGATTTCACAATTGACTGTCAAATTTCAATTCTGGCCTTTGCAAAAATTTAAAATCTGGCCTATGCGGAAACAACCATATTTTTAGCATATGTAAGACAATATAAATGTAAAATACTTGTTTACTGACTAACTTAATTTGGCTAATTAATATCATATTTGTCCTTTATCATTAGTGCAACCCACATAAGATAAAACGTAATATTAGTAATTTAGATCTAGACCAATATCTTTAAAATTCATTTTATTATTGTCAGATAAACTCATGTTAACATGACATTTCTCTCTGTTATAGACATATTTATCTTGTTTATTTATTTGTCAACATTTGTATTTCTTTTTAAATGACATTTTAACATATTTAACTGTCTTTTTTTATCATCTTTTTATTTGTGATGGTTATACAACGATCAACAAACCGTACACAGAATGTCAGCATATCCCTTCCCTCCACCAACATGAACACATACATACATGCATGTCTGCATACATAGGCCTCCATGCATACACAGAAAAACAAAGCGAAAACAAGAAAAACAATCCTAACAGTAATACTAGTAATACTCTTAATAATAATAGTAAAAATAATAAGACGAGACAAAAAAATAAAAAATATTTTTTTTTTTTTTTTTGTCATATTTAACTGTCTGAAATGATACATTTTAGACTGGGCTACATATCTATCTATCTATCTATCTGAAAGGCCCTTAACCCCCTGCCAACTTACCGGCTAAAAACTAGCATCGCCTACTTGTTTTCAGTCAGCATGAATTTAAACAGACACGGTCATGACTAAATATTTCCACTGAATTAGCCAGAATTTCCCATTGGAATTTCCCATTGGGGAAAGTTTAAGTTTGGCATATTTGCCTGCTGCCTAAATCATTTCCTCTAACACCTACCCTTTTCCGCTCTGCTGGGGTCCATGTTCCTCTTTAATCACGATAACAACCAAGAATTAAAAGTACAGTTTGTTATTTTGTTGTTTTACTGAAAATGTTTACCTCTGACATGTAACTGTTCATTTATAATTATTTGAGCCCAACTACATATATCTAATAAATTCATATACACAGAGAGTTATCCTTTTTTTTTTTATTACATATATTGGTGTAAATTGAAAAAAATAGATTCAGAAACTGAGTGTTGTAAACTGATTTCATGTTTTAAGCTTGATGTCTTTGTGCCAATCGATAACTTTTGAAAATTCCCCATTTTCAACATTTATTGTGAAATTATACATGCTTTTTGCCACAACCAAGTCATTGTAATACGCTTGTTTTTAGGACTTCTTGTCTGGACCTTACTATTTTTAAAACAAAATAATGCAAACAGAAGGATATAAAACTCAACAATAAAAAGCTTTTATTGAAATATTTATGAACTCTTGCAAATTACCTGAAGTACCTTGGTAGCCCACTTGGGGTACACGACCCTCTGGCTTTAATTCTTTAAAATTGGCATATTCAATTGTGGGCGGAGCTTATAAGCAGAGCATGGACCCTTACGAATGACTGGCCTAAAAACATCCATGTTTAGTCCCACTCATCACTTTAAGTAAACATAAATAAAATATTTATTTGTGTTTGTTAGCCCATGCTAGCGAGGCTCAACGAGGTTGTTGTCTATTATGTTGTAGATTTCTTATTAAGAAGTTTTCTGTTAAATGTTGTATTATACTTCTCATGCATGTATGTTAGAAAGTTAGATGATGATTTAGTGATAAGTTAGTGATGTTTTCAAAGGAATCACTTTGTTCAATGCACACACATATTGAAGTGTTGTAAATAATACATTTATTAAATGAGCCACTTACAAAGTGCTTATTAAACAGTTAGACCAACGAGCTTCCAGTTTAATGATTGATCCATATACATTAGGCACAGTCGGCTTCTCAGTATGAACAAGCACAGTCTCTCAGCAGACATAGATCATGGAATATTTTCTGTTTTTTTTTTTTTATATTTTCAATTGGCTTTATCTGGAGCAGCAGATCATTTCTGTAAAAATGTCAAAAAGATCATCTGGTACAAAATATATTACAGATTTTTTTATAGCATGCTTTTCACTTCCTCAATTTTCATACTTCCTTCATTTCATCCTAATGAAATTGAGCAAATAAGTACCTTTGTTTGATTCAATTTTCATGCATTGCTTAAAATTTCTGTCTAGAGTAAGAAAGCAAAACGTGTCATTATTATCTACATTTGTGTTAGTCATGGTCTGGTAGAATCCACAAATACTTCTTTAGCAACAGCATTAAAAAAAACACACAGCTGTAAAATTGGATACAACTGGAAAGTGTGCATTCAAACATTGTGCATGGAAAAAAAAGAAAGAAATTGGCATGTTGAAAATTCAGTCGTACATCAGGAAATGTAAAATGTAGGAAACATATTTTGCACACTGTACAGAGGTACACACACACATACTGCACATGGACATGTAAAACGGTTCTTACAAACAGTGTTATAACATTCACAAAATTACCCATTTCCGAGCAAACATAGCATGAAGATCTATTTTTAATCACATTGCATTTAGTATCCAAGTTAGTTCAGTTATTCCCCTTATGTGAAATGCCACTTTTCTTTTAAAGTTAAAGTGCTTTTAGTAACATAACTAACTACTTTACTCGAATAAACAATAAAGGACATTCATATCGAGGAGCACAACATTTCCAAGTGCAACAAGTAACAGTGTTAGAAACTATCATGCCCATAAAATATGATACATTCCTTTAAAGTCCTTTGTTAAAAAAAATAATGGTTCCTTTTTTTTTTCATCACCAACCGTTGAAGGTATTTAAGTTATTAAAAATGGAAAGAAAACAGTACTTTGATTCAGTGAAGACCGTCCATATCAAAAGTTCAACTTCACTGCAAAATGCATCTTATCAAGTCGGTTTGTTGATGGCAAACTTCCTATTTTCTATAAAAAGGTTAAAAAAAACACAAAGTGGTGAGAATATTTTAACCTGGATCCAATAGAAATTTATTTTTCTTTAAATTGAGTACACTTTTCTTGAGATACTCAGGTTGAAATATTCTTATTACCATGTCCTCGTTATATAGACATAACTGACCTTACAAGATGAAGATTTATTTCAGTGTTTGCAGTACATCAAGTCCGTTTCACAATGAAAAATGAATCAAGTTTAGAAAATGCATCACTGGAGGACTTGATATTGTGTTCTTCATTCGTAAATGTTGACTTTGTAACGTGCATCCTGTAAAGTTCATGTGTCTGTCGTCAACAGGCCTTGTGATAGTGTGGTTTGTGCAAAGACAAGGCAGGTGTTTAATCTCCACAAACCGAAAAAGTGTGTAGGCGTGCTGTATGATTCAGATGTTTATCTGCATGAGTTTGTTCTTCCTCTTTTGGTCATCTCAGTTTCACATCCGCTTTATGCAACCTCCTCATCTCTTTCTCTTATTCACACATTACTTATTCTCACACTCAGTGGGCTGCTATCTCTGATCCGACCCCTTTCTCGCCCCTTCTCCTCCCCTCTGTAGCTCTCCTCCAGGCGCATCTTCTCCGGGTCCATTCCATCCTCCTTGCCCTTGCCATGGTAGCGGGACGCCTGTGATGGCGGGCTCGGTGGAAGGGCCTGCTTGAAGAGGGGCGGGGTTTTGGTTTTGGCCACTTTGTCGAAGAAGGCAAAATCGGCCACGTATTTTCCTGAGGGAGACAGGGAGACCACGGGGGGAAACTCATAGCCCCAGAGGATCTCATCAGGAAGGTAGGACGTTCGAACCTGACAGGTGGCGGAGGTCGGCTCAACAGTGGCGCTCATGATCACCAGCAGTTCAAAGTCGGCCAGCTCGGGGTCTGTCCAACCACCACCTAGAGGAGGAAGGAGAATTTATCTACAGCCACTTAATTTTCCAAAGCAACCCCTAAATAAGTATTTACCTGTTTCCATGCAGTTAATTCTATAAAATGCAGATACAGTAAACATGTTTTTCTTTTGTTTTTAAGTAAAAGCACATAGACAAACATGCAGAAACACACACACACACACACACACACACACAATCATACACACCTCCTGAAATTTCCAAAACAGAAGAAACATTCCACTTACAGACTCTCTCCACAAACACTTGACCGGATTTAGCAGACACAAACACAAACAGAACTGATCCCTGAAATGTGAAAACACAACAATAAAAGCAAGAGCTGCCATGTGTTTTAAACTATACAATGAGAAGTATAGTTTGCGTGTTGGAAGCTGTCCAATCAGAATGTCTGACATATTTTTAAGAATATGCAGAATATCCTTGTCATTCATCTACGCACAACCCCCACATCCCGAAGGACACACTTGAAGACATATGCACTCAAACAATCGCACACCTGCATCAACAGGCCTCACTCAGAATGTAGACCGTGTCATCTGTCCAAACAGTCCTTCCCCTAACCCAGACCCAGTTACGCTCCCAATAGAGTGAAAACACCAGGTTTCGCAACTGCTTTGACACTCGGAGAAACTTGAGGGATTCTCTATTTAAACTTGTTGTAGGCGGTTCAAAGAGATCCGTTTGCATTTCTCTCGTGAGTCCTCCTAGCATCTTTAGCAGCAGGGCTCTATGGTGATGGCACGACCCCTCGGTTGGAGCCGTGGTCAACCGCTTCGGTATGACTACTGAAAGGGAAACCGTTAAACTTTTTCCCCAGCATAAAGAAGGATGCTGCAAGAGGTTAAAGGTGCACTATGTAGATTTGGTGGTGAAATTTGGAAGTCGGAGAATTAAAACAATTCTATGCTATATTTTCTGAACTAAATGCACAAACTTTATTGAAAGGAAAAGGGAACCTGTTTAAAGCTAAAAAAGCTACCAGGAGAGTTACAGTTTCACTGTTGTGGACCCACCACCATAACTTCTCACATTTTATCTTCAAACAGTGTAACAGGGATCACATTTTCCTCTGAGGACAGTTTGTGTATGGAGTTATGGACATATACCACAGAATCTGTACATTTCTCCAATTTTCACACTTCTCTACCAAAACTCCACACGGCCCCTTTTGTGTTTTTGAGCAAATTGTCCAGGACTGAAATTCTGTACACACATTAAAAGGCCCCTTACAATTGTATTAACTTGAGTAGTTCTCTGAATTTGTATGTATTGCGTCTGTTTGTTTACAAATCAAAATACCTGACAAATGCATGGCATTCCTTTCAGCCCTAGCTTTACATTGTGTTGTGCTAATTAGAACGTGTTAGCATGTAAAAATGTTAAGCTAACACCTCTTCATGTTATTTTTTAAAATCTATTTTTTGGCATGACTTCTGATTGCTCCCTCTGCACATTTTAAAAATATACAAAATAACAAAATTTAGCAGAATTAGAAGCCAGGAAGTGGTTTATGAAAAAGCAACAGATTGTCACGTTCGTTGAACCATCTTACTTGAGAAAAAATGAAACTAGCTGAACATTGCTAACTTGCTTGCTTGATTGCATCACTTCCAGTTAATATTTGAAGAAGACCACAGACATGTAAAGCCTTTAACCTGCTTAACATTTTGAGCTTTGCCATATTTAGCAGTGAATGCATGTTAGCCAAACAATGTTAGCAGTTAGCAAAAAACAGTTTACTCCAGCCTAAAATAGCTTGTAGCACATGTCTGTCATTTTCAAGTCTTGTTAAACTCTTTCTGTTTTGGGGGTTGGTTTTCACATTCATTAAACTCAACAAACAGTGACTAATTCATAAAGATAAATGAGTCAATATTTGTTAGCAACCAGAGGTATGTGTTATATGCTTATCTTCCTTGAGCAAGCTAAAGCTTATCATGAGAGCTTAAAGGCCATAATGGAAGATAACATTGACCTTTCTCAAACATCTAGCATTTTTTTCAGCCATAGGTCACAGAAAGTTTTGTTATAACTCGTGTAAAGTAAAAGGTCTTTGAATATATCATCTGTTGCATTTTTACGCAGTAGGTGTATTCACAACAACCTGTATGACAGATCAAACCCACCACATCCTGCCCTCATCATTCTGAGATCCACATGATGCCAAAAAGATACCACGGTGTTGCACCTGAAGTTTGTCTTCAGTATTTTTTATATTTTTTATAGCTGTACATTTCCGTCTAAATAACACTTTGGCGCTAAAAACCATAGTGGGCTTGGTCATGACCGTAGTGACCAAGAACTGCAGACTTTTTAAATGTCTATAAAGGACACCAATCTAACTTTCAACCTATTTTCAAGTGAGTAATCTATTTGTTCATGTAAGGCACACATACTGGAAAAAAAGGATTAAGGGCCAAATGTCTTATCAAATTGAAGTTAACATTTATCTCATTTGTTAGAAATAAGTGACATAGATACATATCCCCTCGACATGCCCTTTTTTATAAAATAGATTGTGTTTCGCAAAGCATCCAAGACTGTTTTTTTTAGTTTTTAGGTGATATGGTTGATGTAGGAAATAGTTAAATGTAGATCCCTTACACACAGAGAACGGCGAATTTCAAGATAGAACAGGAGGTTTTATACCACTGCTTTATCTTTATGTTGGCATTACTTCCTAACCCTAACCCAGGAAGCCATGTTGATTCAGCAACACTGGAGACCGGTCGGCAAATCTGGCTACAATTACAGTTGCCACTCAGATTAGGGATTACTTTTTGACTGAATAATGAGTGCTGTAATGTAGTCCCTTATACATGGAAACTGTTGCAATAACAGGAAGTTCAAGAAACATTTCAGAAAGTCTGATCATATAGTTGACAGGAAAGGATGTGACTGCTAAAGATGTAACAATGACAACAGTTCTGTTATTAGAAGGCATAAAAAGGAACTGATAATACAACAGAAACCCAATGTGTCACGTGAGGCCATGGACAGATTTGCGAGTGTAGATAATGCAGCGATCAGAGCCCGACAGCACTGATGTCTTTGAGACTGTAGTGCTAAGAGGTCTGTGCTGCTGTAAGTGGATCTGCGCAGGCTTCGTGTCAGCACCCCAGACTGTACAGCATTGTGCTCTAATGAGGGGTGTCTCTGGCGATCTCTCTCACACACATTCCAGCCAGAATGAAACCCTCTCCTTCAGCGCCGAACCAGCCCGGCTCTGGACAGTTAGAGGCAGGCAAGCACGCAGCACATGACTGTAAATACCATCACACCTACAGAGCCATACTCACTGAATGTACTGTATATACAGTTATTCTATTCTGAAGATATTGAACTATGATTGTTCAAATTTCATATGAAAATAGTAAAGACCAAGCAATTTCAATTTGAAGGATTACTCCAAAAAAGCCAAATTTTCACTTGATATAGTTTCATCTGCTAACCCAGTGGTGTCCAAACTTTTTTTTTCTTGCGGGCCAAAATTGTCGTGTTAGAATCGTTCACGGGCCAGAGGTTTTATTTTTTAAAATATAGTTGAAAAAATAGTAAGGCTTTGTAGATCAGAATCAAAAGGCTCGCTAAAGAAACCCTTCAATAAAAGGAAATCAAATATTTTGATTTCTTCTTCCTACTTTATTTGTTTTTTTCTCAGAATCAAGCCTGTGACGTGGTTCATTTTTTTGGAAAAGCTTTCTGCATTTAGCTCAGGTCATTAAATGGTAAAACAACAGTCCGCTTGTTTGCATACGTTTTTTTTCATAGTTTACAAAAAAATGTGGAAAATAGTAAAAGCTGTAGATTTTAAAAAAAACAACAACATACATGTTACTGAACATTTTCTATTTTAGGAATATTGTTCAGCCCTTGTTAACATGAAAAAGAAAAATAAGCTAATGTGCCAATCTTAATCAAAATCTTCTGATTCTTCATTTGAAGTCATGAGCCGCAAAAAATCCCCTCAAGGGCCGCAAATGGCCCTCGGGCCGCACTTTGGACACCCTTGTGCTAACCTATAAATCCCAGCTACCGGGGCGGCTGTAGCTAAATTGGTAGAGTCGTCACCTGTATGTGTGCTGTTTTTGATCAGCTAACCTAATAACCAAATACTGTTTATTGTCAAATGACTTTTGCATTTTTTGGTTAACATTGCATCGCTACACTTCATCCTGGTCAAAATGTTGAATGTAAAAACTGGATAAATACTGTTTTTAATTTTGTTTCTGACCTTGCTTAGTATGGCATGACGTGACCCTTATAAATAGTCCTTTGGTCTTATCTAAGTTACTACAAACTTATGAACTACAGTTTTGTGTGACACATAAGGAGTAGTGTACCGGCCAATGAACTTAAAATGACAGCCATGATCTACCTTTAGCTGCCCAGGCCCTCAGGGGGCTGTTGTCGTCAATGATATGGTAGAAAGTCAGGGGGATGATGAGGAAGGGGCTGTCGCTGGAAGTATCCACCTGGAAAGGTACATTGCGCTGGTCCAGCCGCACCGTCTCACCCTCCTTTGTCAAGGACGTCTGAAGCAACTTCCCCGTCACCTGGGAGCCAAGATGGAGTCAGTAAATGAAGCCAAGAGGTAGCAGAAGGTATCCTGTAACCAAAAGGCCCCAGGTTTAATACCTGCAATGGCCAATATCCTTAAGTATGGCATTAATTGACATGCCCAGTCACTAAGGGGGGTGTAACCTGTATAAAAAACAATAGATGTTTCAACTTAATTAAATACTGATTGGGGGAAAAATCCAACGTTGCCATCAACCACACCTTTTGAACTGAATAACACCCATGTGTCACTTCCTTACCTGGCATCCTAACAGCAGGCTTTTGCGCATGTTGGCCACGCGGATCATGAGGCAAGGCCGACCCTCGTAATTAGACACAACAGCATGTTGACTAAACTTGACAGTCTCGCCTCTCTTCTTGGGACGAGCTACCTACAAGAGGAGGAAAACAAGTCAAAGTCTTGTCAAAAAAAAAAAAAAAAAAAAATTACTGTTTCTACATACCATAAACACTTCTCATTACCCTAAGTAATCATCTACAGGGCTTATCACTTCGTCTTTCTGGAAGGATTGTTAGACTACAACTGTTTAAACAACCTTGCTTTTGACAGATAAGATTGTAATAATCAACAAGGTGACAATCTGTAAACATAACTGATAACCGAGAAGTTGCTGAGAGCTTTAATGCAACAATTAATGCATTTAAAGATACTTTTAGGGGAGATCATAGCAAGTTTTTGTACAGACTTTTCACTCTACAATCCCAGCAATTGGAATAAACAGCGTCAAACATAAAGCTTCATATAGAAGAGGGTTGAGTCCAGGTCAGCGTAGGACTGGGAAGAAAATTTGGCCCTGGCATTTTTTTGTTTGAACCAGCCTCTCCCCGGCTGAACATAACATAACAGTACAGTACACCATCCATGTGTCCCCTTTCAATAGGTCCATCACATTATTTCTTCAAACCATTACCAAGCTTGGAAGTAAGTGCCATAGACACATAATGTATAACTGTGTGTGTTCACTCTGTTTTGACTGACTCAAGTAGTATAAAAAGTGAGCAATTATTAAACGAATCTGCTAGAATACATACAAATATCAAACTAAATAAATTTAATATAGGTTTTGTACTACATGACAATCTTAGTTCTATGTAATTAAGTAGCCCTATATTTACTGCAATAATCTATTTAACTACAAACATAAAGGTCAATATTTCCAATTTGGCTACCATTCTAATGGTACTTTATATTTCTACTCTACCTTGCAAGACATTTAGCCTTGACCCCTCAATTTAAGCCATTATTTTAAATGTTTCCGTTTCAGTTAATTGCATCACAATGGTAGAAAACAGTTGAACGCGTGCCGTTTATATCCAACAGTATGTGACTTTTACTTTTTTTATCACTTTAACAATCACACCCTGCAATTTATTGATTCACTCCAATCTTGAAACTGACTACCTTAGCGAGAAAGGTACCAGTGATGAAGATCTCCATCACCATGGTGATGACCAGCTGAAAGATGAGCAGTATAATGGCCATAGGACACTCTTCGGTGATGCACCGGAAACCATAGCCAATTGTGGTTTGAGACTCCAGAGAGAAGAGGAAGGCTCCTGTCAGGGTCTTCACCTCCATTACACATGGAGTATGGTTGGAGGGGGGGTCAAATTCTGGAGGAAGAACAGAAGATCATGGGGTTGGGGGGGTTTAAAACAAATGATCAAGGAACACTTTGTTTCCTCTCTCAGTGTTGTGGTCTTTCTCATGCTTGTTGAAAACTGTAATCCTGTGTTTTCATTGTTTACACATTGACAAAAAAGTACTTGTACTTTGTGGGTTATTTAATTACAGAAAGTCAAAGGACATGGATAAAGGAAGTTCTTCTTTAACTTTGTGTTCTGGTCTTTTAAAGCAATAGGACTAGCAGATGAATGCAGAATCGTACTGCAACAGTGCAAGTCCTGTCAGCGAGGACACAATAACAAGAGGCATTTAAACTCAGATCTTGGCTTAACATGGTTGCATGCTTAAATTTGATTTTTAAAACACTAAATATAAATACTGTCCATGTTAACTGGACTGAGCTTAATTTAGCAGGTACGAGTTCAACAACAACAGTGGCGCAACACCTTACATTTTGGTGATGATGATTGCGCTAGATGTAAAGTCACATTAGGGGAATATGGAAGCCTTTAATATATTTATTGCAATCTATCCAATAGTTGCTGAGATAATTCACTGAAACAGTAAACGTCAATGACATGGGGGTACCAGGAAAAAAGTTGTGGGTCCACCAATGCCTGTGTGATCTATTCTCTTGGGGAAAACAAATGTCAAGGTCAATGTAAAAAACATTTACTAATCCATCCTGTGGATCTTGATCTTTAGGATATTTTACCGGCTTTTGGCATAAGACGAAAAGTCAGGGGGCCACCAAATCATTTGACTTCATTCTCTGATGACCACATTTCATTCATTTTGTACTCACAAACTAGTATTGCAAAGAAAAAGACAAGTGACTAAAAACCAAACAGCAATATTATTGCTATTATGACAGTGTTAAACTCTCTAAAACATTTTAAGAAAATCTTATTTGATAACTTATTGTGAAAAGATGACTAACGATGAAGCTCCATCATCCTCCTTACCTAGAAGATCTCCATGTACCATTGCCACCAGGTACCAAAGCACTCCAAACACAAACCAGGTCCCGGCAAAGGTGGCAGAGAAGAGGAAGAACTTGTAGCGCCATTGCATGTCCAAGAAAGTTGTCCAGAGGTCCCGGAGGTACAGCGCCCCACGTCCGCTTACATGCTCAATTCGTACATTGCTTCGTCCATCTTTGGAGAGGACTCTGCGCCTCCTTCGGAGAGCATTGGGCCCTACGGTTTCCTTTCCTCCAGCACCTGCAACAGTACCTGAAGTCCCTCCTGTGGAGCCCAGAAGGGGCTTGGTGATGTCAGTCTGTGTCTGGGAGTGGCATACTTTCTGAGGAGAGGAGCCCTCAGAGGAGGGTGGCGTGGCTGAGGTCATGGCTGGTGCTACAGGGGGTTGGAGACAGAAAGAGGAGACAACAGGAGGTAAGGAGGAGACGAGTGGGTAAAGGGGGTATACATGAAAAGACAAAGAGAGGTAAGACAGCGAGCAAGAAGGTTACCAGTTCTATAGACAGTAACGTCAAGCGAACAGCAGGTGAATGTTAATGAAAAGGTGCAGGATGCGTGTAAAGTATAAAAGACAGAACATTTAAAAAAACCAGATGAATGAGAAAAATTACGTGGTGGAACATTTGGGGCGAGAAGAAGAAGGAGAAGGGGATTAAAAACACTTTTTTTTTTTACTTGACAGTGTTCTGGCTGTCCACAGTGGTCCATTTAAGCCCCTTTTCTCCTTTCACTGGAGGCAGCTGGCCTTGTCAAAATAAAAGCCCTCTTTCAGCATGAAGGCACAGCTGCTCTTTCAAATTAAAAGCCCGAAAGTGCAGGCTCATTCATGTGTTGGTTACACGAGACGGCTACTGAATTGAGATGACGAGACATTGGTAGGTGTTATCCCACGTGGAAAGGAACACCAAAGAGAAGCCTTACAATTTGAATCAAGAAAGCCGAGATCTTGAAATGAGTCAACCTATTCCGTTTTAGTGAAACTGATTTTATAGTCCACCCTTTTCTTTTTGGTCTGCTGTTGCTTGAATAGAAACCTCTATTTTGCAGCATTTGCAGCAAGTGTTTTTTGTTAATTGTTAGCTATGGCGTAAAATCCCCATCCATCCATACCAGTGTTAATGAGGACATGGTTCTTCTAGTTAGGTTGAGGAAAAAAACATGATTGATCTGCACAAAGCCCAGACCTTAACACCACTTAGGATCAATGGGACAAACTTGGATGCCTACTGCTAGACAGACCTTGTCAATCAATGTCAGTGCCTTTGCCTGACTTGCATCTTACAAGAAATGTACTTTGCTGGGACGATGCACTTCAAAGTTGTTACTGAGCTGGTCTAGCATTTAACTGAAACTATGGAGACACTGATGCTAGCATGTAGCTAGCTGCTGAAGCTTATTTGCATCCAAATGAAGTTAACATTTTAAAGATGATTGCCAACTACAATGTCTATTGCCAAATGTTGTGTGCATAGTTTGTGCATTTCAGTGATCAGTAACTTTTTTTAAGATGTATTTTCTCAAACTACGACATGACCAGTTAAGTTTTAGTCACCATAATTGGAAGTTCAAAATAGTTGAAAAAAAGCTAATCAACGTGTAGTACAAACCCCATCAATGATAGCATTTTTGCAGTGTATTTGCATATCAGCAAAGAAAATGTACACAAGTAGAACGCTTACACCAACATAGGAATGTAACTTAGTCAAGGCCTAGTAGAATTACAAATCAGAGCGCATAAGTAAGGTGTTGGGCCACCATGTGTTAGCAAAACAGCCTCAATGTCCCTTGACTTTGGTTGTACAAATCTCTTTAGGGGATGGAGCACCACAACTCCTTGGAAAGATTTTCCCAATTTTTTTCTATTTGGATGAATGCATGGTCAAACTATCTTTCAAATATCACCAAGAAAAAGCACACAACTATTATGCTTATAGAGGCATGGCCACGTTACTAAAGTTGAGGCCTCTGCTCCAACCAGGTTGGAGGAAGGTGTTGGGCCATGATGTGCGTACAGAACGGCCCGACATCCACTTGATGTCAGATTCAAGCACCCTGGTTTTAATTTCAAATACGGCTAACTCGAATGAATGATTGTTTGCAAACTCAGCTCAGTGTCATGAGACTGCCCTTGTCAGAGAATGGTGGTGAAGTGTTTGTGGATGTCAAAGAGTTAGCAGTACATTACCACAATGGTAGCCCACTATCCAACTCTTGGGTGCCATGGACACTTATTGTCACTATGTGAGTTGTTCCTTTTACACCCTTAGCAGTTTTCCCCTTAACTGAGCTTCAGTTTCTCTTCGTCCACATCCTTCTTTTCGCACTCTTTCTCTCTCTCTCTCTCACTCACTGTTGACTAAATAGACCCTTTTGTGTCGAACTGCCTCTGCTTTCCGGAGTGAATACAACAAAACCAAAAAACACAACACAAACAAAAGCCAAAGAAGCAGGGCGATCTGATATGCTCTGTCCTTTCCTGTCCTTTCTGACCCTTCTCTCTCCTCCCTCCACGCTGGAGCTCACACTGAGTGAATGAATAGAGATCTGTTGTTGATGTCTGTGCTCTGAATACTAAGATGTGGAGGGGGAGAGAAGGGAGGGAGGCGGGGTCAACAGGAGGCCCATGTGATTGGCCGTGTCCATCTCCAGCTGAACTCTGAACCCGGCAAGCTCCTGCCTACACGTACAGTAAACACACACACTCATGTATTGGTTGTATAGACCTTTTGAACAGCTGGAATATGATACAATACCGTTTTTGTCCGGAGGAATGTTTGGTTTTCAAAGCTGTCACCTTGCAGACAACATGGTGAATCTAGCAATAGTTTCTACAATTAGGGTTAGTTATAGCTGGAGTTTGTCTTTATTTTTGGTATTAACTATAAAACATGAAAAGACCCAAACCAAACCTCACAATATTTCGGACAGTCTGGCCAGTCTGTGGCACTCTGTTAAATGAATGGTTTTAACATTGTTACTTTTAGGATGAATGATAGTCAGTACGTTAGCATGCACGAGCTACGGTAACAGCTCGATAAGGCCTTTTTATTGGACTACGGTGTCCTTCTCCAAGTATAGATGCACCCTGGGAGAATCAATGCATTGATGGAGGTATGTCCGACTCTGCAATGGACCTCGCTAACAGCTAACAAGTTAGCATGTGACAAACTGGTAGAATGTCAAACAGTGAAAACACGAACAATTTTACAGCATTGTACATTTCTTACATGCTCTCTGCTTTACTTTTGGTACCAATACGATGCAGGCTATCCCTCTAGCCCATAGTGATATCTGAAGGGGACTGTGGTGCATGGGCAACAATGCCTCCAGTTTGGGTCCATTTGATGTATAGGGGCCTATACATGCAAGAGTAAATCAATCCCTATCGGCACTATCCAGGTGTGTTTGACTTCCAGACATTCAACTTAGTAGAATTTCAGTCTGAAGATCCAGTTTTAGTTGGACTAAAAATAATAGTCTGACTAAAACTTACAAATTAAACTCCTGAAAAGGACAATAAATTGACTTTTAGTGACTGCATGTAAACGTAGTAAAATGTTCTGTGGGCAGTTTGTTCACAGTGAGTTTTCTCACATTAGTCGTCATCCTTTATCCCATGCTTACAAGAAAATAAGTAGTCGTATTTATTTTCAAATACATGGGGCTATTTTTTTGTCATTCTGAGTTTTTGGACAACAGTGTGGCTGGAAATATTTGTTAGCTGCATTTATTTATTCTCAGGTTTGGTCGTTAACGTGTGGCTAATGGACAAATATAGATTATTTCTAACCTTGTACTTCAACACTTTGTACTATTACTAGTTCTACATTTGTAATAGAAAGTTATATCAATGTTAGTATAGCCAAAACAATATTTGTGCCTCAGTCTGATTTTCAAAAAGATTGACTCGCTCTCATGACTTTTTCCACTCATTTGACAGCCACACTCAAGGTTAGAGATCTCTTCCTATCTGTCCGGCTCTCCATCCCTCTCCTTCCCTCTGTCCTGTGCGCACAAGAATCCTTTGTTTTCCAAGAGATGAAAGGGACAAAAGCCACCATTGAAAAATACGACTGGATGAGCGAGTGAGTGAAAAAGAGAACAAGTTAGACAGGCAGAGGAGAGCGGTACGGAGCGTAAAGTGTGTGTGTGTGTGTGTGTGTGTGTGTGTGTCCTGTTTGATCGTGTGTGAGTATGCAGTGCTTGACATTTTGAGGAGGCAGAGATGGGAGGAAGAAGAGAGGGTAAATTGGTTTCGGGTGACAAAGGGAGTGAAAAAGGAAGAGGGAGAGAAATGGATGGTGAAGGAGAGAGGAAGGGGTACTTTGGGTAAAAGTGGAGGAAATAGATTGGTGACAAAAGACGGTCATTAGTATTCCAGAGGAGAGAGTAATCCCTTCCAACCAGTTCTCCCTGTCCAGTATCCACAGCCATAAAGAACTCCCTGCAGCCAGTACACTGCTGAAAAGACTCAATACACCAAAGCCTGAATGGCTGTGACCAGTGTCCATGCCACAGCGGCCTCCGCACTGGACTGAAAGGATTGTCTAAACATCAACATAGTTCACGCCAAGAAGGCATCTGCTCAGCCAACACAAGACGTGAAAAACCACAAACTTTTCCCAGCCAAACTAAGCAGGACACACTGTTGTACAAATGAGACACTGTTTTGTCAATGGGTCTCTATATGTATGCAGTGAATGAGTATCAGACAATTTCATTAACAAAGAGAGCTTCTCTTAAGCCCATTTTGAACATCTTTACACCAATCATGTATCTTGGCTATCCATGCTATCGCTAGCTCATGCAGTATGAATCACTATTGCAGACCTCAGCAGTCAGAAAGTCTGCCATACGTCTAAATATCAGAAACACGTCAACATGTTTGAGAAGGACATCGGAACTTCTACCAACAAGTCTGTCACAAATATGAATTCATAAAAAGAGCATCTTGGCCGTATAGTGACCAAACTAGCTTACTCGTGCATGGCAGCAGTATGTTACCTTGATTCTTCTCTATAAAAGAATAGCAAGGAGAAAACATTACAACAGTGTTTTCTTGTCAGGAGCTGCTTAGGAAGAAGAGAATCTAACCTTACTTTGGGAGCGTGCCAAGATGTAGCTTCACCTACAATTTTAAAAGCCTCTAAAAGTCTGGTTAAAAGTCCCAGAAACATGGCTTAACCATGTTTTAACATAAGAATGTGATGTTTGATTCATAATTTACCAAGCTTTGTAGATTCATAAATTACTCTCTGAAGAGAAATGTTTGTATGCATGTAGGTGTCAGTATCATTAAAATAAACATTGAACGTTGGTATGATGTTCCATCCGACCACATCTGAAGGCAGAATTGATAGCACCTTTCCGTTCTGAAATTGCACCAAACCTTGTCAAAATATTTAAGATGAGCTGCAATCATTCATAGTTTTTCAAACGGGAATAAAAATGCACTCTTTTTGCATATTTGCTAAAGCAGTGGTTCTCAAGTGGATTATCCTCAGGACCCACCAACTACTCCTTCATGTCAAAATTTCTTACATTTTTCAATCATTCCGATTTATTTAGAGAAAGAATGGTAAAGTTCGGACCTCAGACGGTACAAAGCGTGATTGAACAAAGAAACTGAAGGAAACTAAAAAAGCGTTTCATCGAGTTTTTTGACACATTCGTGACCCATTGAAAATGGCCCAGCGACCCACTTTTGGGACCCGACCCACAGTTGAGAACCACTGTGTTAGAGTATTGCATTGTTTGTATCGCAAATAAAACACTTGAATAAAACATGATATAGGATAAAGTTGGCATCACTTTCAGGTTGTTCTTTTTTTTATTGTTCTGACTTTGGAGAGGTGTAGGGGGAAAGGGTTTAAGATTCTGTTTGACCATTCGACAAATACTTTGACGCACAATAGTGCCCTCATTTTCACCTACTCTATATCAATTTGTTATCAATGCTGCTATTTATTTCCGCAAATATATATTACTAATCTGCAGTACAAAAGTTCTCTGCCACTGCAACTTTCACTTACAGTGTATTTGAACTGTGTTTTTACGTCCTAATTAGGAATGTAACAACAGGCACTAAATGGAACCAGTAACCATCCTGGTTGGTCTAAATGTGTCTGTATCCAGCCGTCTGTCCACACATCCATCTAAAAATGTCCCTTTGCCACTCGTCTTCTCTTCCTCAGTCCAGAATTAGTAGTGGAAGAGTTACGGCGTTGACCTAAATGAAACAATGCGAGCACACAGAGCATGCTGTTTTGTCACCGGGCTGTAATTCAAGTCTGACTTTTACTTTCTTCTAGTAGCCAAACGTCTCTTCGTCCCTCTGCTGTAAATCTGACTCGGTCTACTGCTGTTGACGTACTGACGAGGATTCCTCAATGAGAAGACGAGATTTGTTTTGACTAAAGGCTTCCGAGCCAAGACGTTCTGTGTGTTTGGAGTCCAAACAACTGCTCTCTCCACTGTGATTTGTATGAAGCCTCTTACATTTTGAGTTCTGTATTACAACTTCTAAAGTTAATGTTCTTGTGTAGCATCGTCTCAAGTACCAATGTTTTTACCTCTTTTAATTGTAAGTCATACAGCTGTTAAGAATCATAATTCATAATTGGTGTCCATGCAGAGAATGCACAGGATGCTTAGTTCAACTTTTTGAGTCAAATTGATATTAATCCCAGTCTTATCTTGAACTCAAACTGTCCATTAATTAACGTTGGGTTTTAATATTAAAGCACCAGAAGAAGCTATGTAGCAGTCAGACACAGTGATCCAGATTTCACAGTGGAGCTTCCACCATTGTTTCTGTCTATGAATATCCCTCCGCAGTGTAAACACAACATGACAGACGCTGCAAGACCTGTTTGAATTTTGACCTCAACCAATCATAGACAGTATGTTTGCTTTGATAATTCCCACAACCCATATAGGGGGAAAAAGTTAAAGACACAAAAACATTTCACAGACATATATATTGGGATGTTAGAGGAGTATTCCCGGTTGCAGCATTAAAGGAAAATAACAGATGCAGTGGCGCATGAGAAAAGATTCAGCACAAGTGCTCAACAGGAGGTTGTACAGATTTTTGGTTGGAAGCATTTGAGGAAACTGAAGTTGCCTATGGATGGCTATCTAAAAATAAGTAAATCAATATAAAACTAATAAGAAGAATACATTGCAAGAAATGATTTTACAATGTTTCAATTTCTCTTACCTTTTCTGATGACAACAGAAGTTCACTTTGACCTCAGACTGGCAACCTGAAGATTTGAGTAATTTCACTGTCCAGCAGACATGTGAAGAAAAAAAAACAGATACCGTACAAAAAAAAAAAAGGAGAAATTTCACAGTTTTGAATTACACGCACTTGTTGACAGCTCAAGCATGTTTCAAACCACCTCACACTCTGACATCACATTGTTTGCATTGTTTTCTTCCGCGGTCCCTCTACGCCATTGTTATTGTAGTTTTTAAAAAGAGAACAAGAGTCAGAAAAAATGAAACGGAGAAGAAGAAGAAGAAGAAGAAGAAAGGCCAGTGGTCAGTGAGTGTCTCCCAGCACGCTGGTACTGGAAGTACCGGTTCTGGCTCACTGTCACTGGATCATTATGTAATCAGATGAGCGCTTCTTCTCTCATGTGGAGCGGAGAGGGATCCCTGTCTGAGAGCTCGGACGGAGAGAAGTTAAAGAAGCCTGCGATGTCCACTCCTCCTGGACCCCCCCTGAAGGCCTCTCTATATAAACCCCCAAACTATTCCCCCAGCCGCTGTTTCACGACATTTTTAATTCATTAATTCAACTCTCCTCCCAGCTTCTCCTCCTACCCTCCCTCTCCGAGTCTCTCCCTCACTGTACAACATAAATGGGCCTCTTTGTTGCGAGGCCTCCTCCGCTGTTTCAGCCTTTGTCAACTTTCTCATGTAAATCTTTGATGGTTATGAGATACAAGCAGGGAAGTTGTGGCACTGCGACGGAGGTATTTACAAATCAAAGACATGGAAACAAAACAGGGCTCTTTTTCTTGTGCGCTTGGCTCCCTGCAGTTTTGCGTTGGCCACTGCACTGCACACTGAATGTGTAATGTCGGTGCATCTCTGTGAGGCTGTGCCATGTCCGCCTGCTGGGTGGGGGGTTTGGGGGGCTCGCTGGTGTATAGGCGAGTACACATGGGCCTGCTGTGAATGAACAGCACAAGGATGAATTAATTCAGCTAAGTAACAAATATCACTCCGAAACACTGGACCTGTGGAGGAATACATTTTAAATGTTTCTCTGATGTGCAAAAACAAAGTTACTTTACAACCTTTAAGGCTCTTTTATGTAACAGTATTTAAATATGTACATTTTCCTCTTTAATTCTACTCCGTTTCATTCAACTGTTGTAGTCCTTTTTCTCCTTTTGTTGGGAGTTCATTAGTTTGACAACTTTCAGTACTTTTAAAGTTACACAAAAAGAAAGCTCATCGTCTTGTGAAATGTGAGGCCTTTCTAAAGATTACTTGGTTTCATGTATTTTATTACCTTGAGATAACAAAGCTTGTACTCTTGTGAAAATTCTGGCTATCTGGAAAACAATCAACCGGTTGGTCGCTGTGATTGGCCAGACCACAACTTGCCATGCTGCCATTGTGCATGAGGTAGGTTAAGCCAATTTCTATGTTTGTTTGTTTTGCTTTAAAAACTCGTATACGACATAAGTACGTTTAAGATTTCTAGAAAACAAGCAGAAATTACGTGTTATCCCTAGAAAACAGAGGAAATAAAATGTATGGATGCATGTCTGCGTCTGAAGGTTTTTTCTGATTAATGATTTTTACACATTTTAAGGATAATACTTTAATATTGTTCTGCCTCACTTCGCCTATAGGGTTACTTTTTTAAATCATTCTTCTAACACTGTTGAGACACCCTAAATTAATTTTAACGAGGTCAAAACATTTATAAAGATGGAGATTCTAAAAAAGGCAGTGTTCAAATTAAATCTCAGTGTTGACTTGCAAGACTTTAGTTTTTGTTTATAGATATATATGGCATTATTATTATGTATATAAATTACCATAGCACATTGAAAAATTGGGTTTTGAAAAGAAGTCCAAGTTGTGGCCATTGGACGGTATATTGTAATGACAGCAGCTGTTACAGTGAAGTAAATCTCAATAAATACGTCGATTTATACCATTGAGTGATTTTCTTTACTGACGACTTGGTGATTTATTGGTTTGTTCTCATATGATTTCATTAAATCCTTGAAACTCCTGCATTGTTGCTGTATTTTCATTTAAAACCACAATTGAACTCTTCTTGACCCTTCCAGTTAACCTGGTTAGTTTTGAGATTCTGAGGGATTTTGTTTACTGAACTAAACAATCATTATTAAACTTACATTATGGTTGTGGTAATCATAATTATTTCAGTCCTTACATAGTCCTTACATGCAGGTATATTCAGTTATATATTCAATCCCCCACTGGTATGTGTACCAGTATAATAAAATCTACGGTCAAACTCCCCATAGAGTTAGTCTATACCCCTATAGAAGCTTAAAAGAGTGTTTTTTTATTCTAAAGGCCAACTTGTCATTCAAAGACTGCCTTTTAACTCTATTTTGGCTGGAGTTAAATTTACCGTATGTTCAGATGAGAGTCTGCAGGCGGGCCTCAGACGCATGAATCTGCAGCTGGGACGCACCGCACAATAAACCGAGAGCTGTGCAATATTTGGCCCGGCAGGTTTCACAAGCACATCAATCTGTGGGGGCCCCTCCGAGCTGTCAGGGGGTGTTGTTCTCCTTCAACACCCTCTCCTGTCCTGCAGAGTTTGGGGCTCCCATCATCCGGAGAGATGAGGCCCTGCATCCATGGGGGCCCGCATTATACGAGTGTGTTTACCTCTTGGTGAGGATTTCGTAAGGATGTGTCTCCTGGCGGGTTCGGGGTCAGACACGGCTCCCTGGGTGGTAGCTTCACCTGAAGTCACAAAGCAGCTCATCGAAGAAAACAAACACATCAATATTGTTGTTATGCTCAGAGAGTGTTTCTGAAGAGCTAAACAAAAGCTGCATTTCCACTGCAGAAACTGTCCCCAGGGACCAGGAACCTTTCGAGGAACTCATTGCTAAGGGACACAACCACAGGTATCAGAATCATATTTAATTTACATGGTCATCTTTTCCCCTGTAAGTCTGGTTGAGGGGTTGTATTTTCAAAAAGTAAAAGAACTTTCAGGGTAGGACTTGAAGCATTGGTCATTTCTGATTAAAGGCTTTATATGCGATTTTTTGATCCAGCAGATGTCGCCCTTGAGCACCAGCATGAAACCAAAACAACTCGCGGTGCATTGTTGTGTTAGCATGCTAATGCTACCGATCTTTATTGTGCTCGTATCTTCACACTGCATGTAAATTTACCTAAAATGATCTAGAAACACAGTTAAGCAGTGAGTACAGTATGTTATTCTTCTTTTCTCTAGTCCCTCAATTAAACAACTTTTATACACGAGGGGAGGAGTCAGCCGGCCGTCCCGACGATGTAAACAAAGTGAAGATAGGACTCTGAAAACTCTGAAAACATCACAGACAGTGGGACTCAGGTGTTACACCCATTGTAGACAGTCATGACTCACAGAGTTAGTTTCAGAGGATATACTTGATTTATATTATATTTAAGTGTGAAAAATCACATATGAAGCCTTTAAGTAGAAACAATTCTTTATATGAGCTGAACCCATACTGAAGTTTTGAGCATTTTTGTAGAGAACGAAATCTAGATGGAATTGACAACAAGACCATTCTGAATTGTACTCGTCTTGGGTTATTTTTTTGTGGACAAACGTCCTTCACTATCAGATCTAAAAATCCCTGAGTCCCTGATGATTTTTCATTTATATCTATGGTCTGGGACTTGTCTCGGTCTCGCCCTGCTTTGGTCTTGGTCTTGGTCTTGACTCGGTCTCAACCCCTCGGGTATGTCTTGGTCTCGGCACGGTCTTGAATACAACACTACTTACTTACCACTAAAACTCATACACAGTAACACGTTTCTTAAGGTCCGAAAATAACAAAGAACACAAGTTCAGTTTAAGTGCTGTGTACTGTTAGGTAATCCCAACTGATCACGACGAGCCTTTCATAACAAACCGATTTACCAATACCGGTTTACGTTTGGCACAATCAACCAAATCATTGCAAAAACGCACAAATCTTCGTTGCCCTCCATAGATGCTCCAAAATCCAACAGGCCATGCAGCCTCATGATTTCAAAATGTATAAGGGGCTGAATATGTGTGGCTCGTTATTTGTGTGTACCCTATTTAACCCTCTTCATGTATGTGTGTGAAAGAATGTGACCTTGTTAAGCCGACAGAAACCGAAGACTCCCTTTTTTTTGTTTTAAGAGTGGAGAGAGTTTTAGGAAAACTGTGTCACAAAGGTCATCACAGCGGTCACTGAGAGGGAGTCGAGAACAGAGGGAGAAGAAGAAATGAGATAGAGGGGGGAAGGAGGGAAGGGGACAAACTGTAAAATGACAAAAAAGAAGGAAAGAAAGAAGCAGACAAAGACAGAGGAGAGAGGAGGCCGTGTGGAGACAATGAAGGAGGAGGTGAGGAGGAAGGAGAAAGAGAAGCACACGATGGCGTAATGCGGACCGGTCGGAAGGCTCCCCTACTTAGGTCACCTCCATCTTCCTTTTTTCCACCCCTCTCTTTGTTGATCTGTCTCTTTGGCCCTGGATGAGCTTTGTGTTTCCATCACACGTTGCACATGTTGTTGCCCTCCTTTCTTTCTTTCCTGTTTCATTCTTTCACTTTAACCACACACACACACACACACACCACATTTGCATGACTTCCGCAGCGAAAAAAACATTGTGCAGATGGTAGAGTGAGGGCTGAGTGAGTGGGTGTTCAAGGGCTGAACACCCACAAACCACACAGCAGCCACACAAACAAGAACAACAACAAAAAAACAAAAAAAAAACAAAGAAGGAAAAACAAAAGTCTGCTACGTATAACTCACTTTACTCAATCTAAAACTCCAGTATGTGTTATTTGAAAACATATTGATTAAAGCACACATTGCATTAAATCTGCACACATTTACGAACAAATGAGTGCAGCATTTCTGCAAAGGAAATCTGCAGAGATGCTGCAAAGAGACCTATATGTCCCTAGCTCTTTAGGCACCATAGCAGAAGAGAAGCTAACAGAGCCCTCCTACAAACAAGTTCTCTAAAAAAAAAAAAGGCGGTCTTTAAGCATCTACAGGACTGAATCACATAGAATTGCATGGAGACAATACACATGAGCAAGGTAAAGAGGGAACCATGAATGGCTGTTTATGCTCTGCCCCGGAGAGTCACACTACAACCAATAACTCAGGCTATTTATAGTTTGTTCTTCATGTAAAATCAAAGTTTCACATTGTCAAGTTGTGAACAGTGTACAGTGGCACCACCATTATGTAAAACAGTGCTCTTTAACTCCATCTAGTGGTTATTTCTCAACACACACTTGCTAAGGTATAAGCAAAGAAAAAAAAGCTCAATAAATGTGGACGTGTCTTATTCCTGAATCGTGACTGGATGGGTATATCTGTAAGGATTTACTCATATTCATCATGCACTTGATTTAAAACAAACAAGTGTTTGCAAAACATGCAGGCCCAGTATAAGCATGTTTTTCTTGAGGCCTTTCCACTGAAACCTTGGTTTCTTTGCTG